GGTATTTGTACAGTGGGTGTGGCTACATTAGCCGGGAATGTTTAAAAGCAGGACAGCTGCAATATAAAAGCTGTTCTGGCTATCAGATGTTGATCCATGTTGGAGTTGTGTTCGAGTTGAAGAATAAAGTTGTGTTCTTGCTGAATCACTCTCTAACTGCTTTGTTAAGTGAACGACTTAACAGTCCACCCTCCAGGGCAACCGATCTCTGCAGTCTGGAGATCAGTTATAATTCTGGGGGAAATCCAGGCTCCGTCTGGAGATCAGCAACTCCTGCTGCGCATGTGATATAATCATTGCTGCTATGCACAGAACTGAGAATATCTACAGTCAGGTGGGACAAAAACTAACAACAACACTCCAACTTTCATGGGTGCAGAGACGAAAACATGTGGGCAGCGCCTGGTACATTTCAGAAGCGCGTACAAAAATCCCAATGCATGAGACTGGGGGTGGGGGAGATGTGTCCTTTGCCTGCCCCTGTGGATTCTTTAAGCAGACCTGCTGGAGAGCAGGGCCCATTAAGCCCACTGAGGTCGGTGCTTAACTCTACATAGGATGAGGCTAAAAACGAAAACTGATGTTATAATCCATCCATTCAGATCGAAGAATGTGTTCCTTTGGTGCAGAATTTGCAGCGCAATTCTAAGAAAAGTTACTCCAGTCTAAGCCCGCTTAGACTGGAGTAATTCTGTCTAGGACTGCACTTGCAGGATACTCTTTTTATGCTATGAAGGACACCCAGCCTAGGCTACAGAGCACCACACTGTTATGTATAGAACGCTTTCTGGGTGTGTTCAGATGGGGCATTTAAGCCGGTATAGAAGCCGGTTAGAAACGGAGTACTTACGCGCGATCACACGCACAACATCTGCCTTCCGTCCCTAACCGTTGCCAACCATCGCAAACACCCCTTAAACCGGTGTAGTTTGCCACTAGGTACCCAAGTGGTGTTTTCCTGAGTGCTCTGGTTCTAGCCACATTTTCCCCGTCTGATCGCTCTCCACCGGTGTCCCACTTCCGCTGGGAAGCCCGAGGCTTCCGCTTTTTACCTGCCTTTTTTTTTAGCCTCAGCGATATGCACTTGGCCAAAGCTTCGACCCGGCGTTAAACTAAAAAAAAACCCAACGTGATTAGTTTTAGGCTTCGGACGAGTCCGGGACTTCACAGAGGCCAGTTTGCTGTAAAAGTTTAAAGGGCAGTGTTCCTTTAGGGCATGCTTTTTGGGATAGGGTGTTCTGCGCCTGCGCGAAGATCTCAAATCTGTGGATGGCTGCCTATGCGCATGCGCAAAATGTAAAAAAAAATATTTAAAAAATGTCGACACACGCTGCTGCGCGCCTAGTGTGGACGCCCGGGAGCGATGTGTGACAGCGCTTGCCCCGGATCAAATTAGTCCACTCGGAACGGGAGCAGTTTAAACCGCTCCCGGCAGGCCGTCTGAACGCACCCTTTGTGTAGCAAAGGGGAAAAGAAACAGATCCCAAAGGGGGTTTGAGAGTGGAAAGAGTTAACAAGGGATGAGCCAGTACATCTAGTCTGGTGGTCTACGGCTGCGGTCACACGGAGCATTAGGCACACTAGAGGGACGGAAGATAGGTGGATTTTCCGGGAGCGATCTCACCGCCACATCTGGGAAGCGTCAAGCTCCCGTGGCAAACCCGAGGCTTCCCGCGGAAGATGCGCGGTAAAAAACGAGTACCTCGGAGGTACTAGTTTCCTGAAACCGCGGGGCAAGGACGGGCGTCTCATCACGTTTCCGGTGGTAGTTCTGGCGCTTGCCCATGTCCCCTCGCAAAAAGGTGAGTTTTTTTCAAAGTCTCCACGGATGCGCACAAGCACCCAAGGGAGCATGCGCACATTTGAGTTTTAAAAAAACCCCAACCCCGTTTGCCCCGCGCCCCGCTTCTTTGCCGCGCCGCAGGACTGTGGAGTGATCAGCACCTCCCCCCTACCATGGGACCTCAACGGGACCTCCACGGTAGGTCTGCTCTCGCAACCGTGCGGTTTTTAGCCCCGGGGGACAAACAGCCACACTCCCCCCCCCGCATTTTCCTGCCCGTGTGCCCGCAGCCTACATATGGGGAAGAATTAGGTTGTAAAACAGGGTACTAATTCAGACTGCAGGTGGGAGTGGAGTCCCACTTTTGAAACCTTCCCTATGTTAAAAAAAAACAACCCCGCAAATAGAATAATCAGCACAGCGACAAATTGCTGGGTCGCTACACAGCTGTTAGCCTGCCAGCCCAGGCCAATAGCCAAATGTTGTGTGGCTAATAGGACAGGAATCATTGCAAAACAGCCAGAAGAATCCTACCAGTAGCTTGAAGTCATGTAACTGTATGCAGTAACACTGATTTTTTTAAAAAATAAATTGCCTCATGGTTGTTAGCTATCCTTTGGACAAGTAGAAGCAGGTTTAACTCTTTGTTTCTTTTTCTTGACATTAATGATATTAATCAATAATAATAATAAAATTAAATGAACGTTTAAGAGTCAGAGAAGGGATCTGGAATATTCAGGGGGGGGCAGTCCCCATCTGGCTATAGCCTTGTTTCCAGCAAAGCCACCCCACCAGAGTGGGCAGACATGCCCAAGTGCCGTCTTCCACTGCCTCCCAGTTTCCCACGCTCAGAAAGGAAACGCATCTGAGAAAACATTCAGCTCTGGCATCTGAAAGACAAACATCTTTCAGGACGCCAGGAACCCAGCCTCAACCTATATTCCTGCTTTTGTTTTCTCACTGTCCACCCTTTCACATACAGCTGCACAATGCAAGATCAGGAAATCAGAAGCCCTGAAAAACCCCTGGCTAGCTTAGGAAGCCGTTTGGGACGGGCAAATTAGCAGCAATTCATTCAACACAATCAGCACACCACTTCCTTGAGTCTGACTTCTGTCAGACAAGCACATAACTCTTCAGGTTAGCACAGATAAACAAGACACAAGGCTGGACAACTTTGGCACACACACAGATTCTCTAGGAGAAAGCGGACAGCAATCGGCCCCACCAACAGATGCCCATACCCTCTTGAGGAAAGGCAGTCTCAGAAAGGCACAAGCAAAATTTGATTATTTCTGTTAGAGCAATTGGAGAGTCAGGTTTCAGTACCAATGGTACTGACCTGGGTAGTCCAAGCTAGCCTGATCTCATCAGATCTCAGACGCTAAGCAAGGTCGGTCCTGGATAGTATTTGGAAGGGTGACCTCCAAGGAATACCAGAGTCATGATGCAGAGGCCGGCAATGGCAAACCACCTCTGAAATGTCTCTTGCCTTGAAAACAAGTCTAGCTAGCCCCCTAGTGGTCCATAATGCTAAACCCAGCGGTTCGAAAGCGTAATTGCAAATAGATAAATGGGTACCTGCCCTAGGTGGCAGGGGGCACCCTCCTCCTTGTGATGGCGTGTGCAGGAGTGCCGGCGGTGTCGTCGTCGGCAGCGGTGGAGCAGTTGGCAACCCGAAGACGTTGGGCGGCGACGGAGGCCGGATGGAGGCAGAGCTGTGGCGGCGTGACGACGCAGCGCGGCAGAGCCGAAAGGGACGAAAGCCGGACCTGCGGTTGGTGCGCGGCCACGCGTCGAGGAGTCCATCAGAAGCCCACCGAAAGAAGTTGTCTACCCATCCTAGGGCGCCGGGAGTACATCTGAAGCCCGCCCGAATATACTAACTGAACGTGCCGCCTGGGTGCTGGTAGGCAGTCCCTCCCCCCATACAAATTGTGGCCCTAGGTAGGAATTAAAATGTATATGTAAACTGCTCAGAGACCCTTCGGGGCCAAGAGCGGTATATAAAAGTAAATTGAAAGAAAGAAAGAAAGAAAGAAAGAAAGAAAGAAAGAAAGAAAGAAAGAAAGAAAGAAAGAAAGAAAGAAGCTAGAACTCGGGATGCCAGACAATCTTAGGATCTCCTGGTTATTCTACAATGTCGTATTATTATTACCACCACCAATAGTATCAAGTTTCAGCGGGGTGCAGTTTTTTGAGTGTCAGACTAGGATGTGGGAGATCCAGGTTCAAATCTTCACTCTGCCATGGAAGCTTGCTGGGTGACCTTGGGCCACTCACAAACTCTCAAGAGTTTCCCAGGGTTGCTGTGATGATAAAATAGAGGAGGGGAGAATGTTATAAGCCCTTTTTAGTCCCCGTTGGAGGGCAAGTGGCATATTAGTTAAGCAAACAGTAACTTCCAGGTCATGAGTTACAACACAGCTCCTTTGGTCACCTGCAGAGTTGTGCTATGCAAATACACCTCAAAGCTGCATCACCTTAACCTCAAATGTCCTCTCCAAAATACCCTGGGTCCGTGGGTAGGCTGCAGTCACTCTACAGCAGCAATGAAAGACATAAGAGTTTATCTGAATGTGCATTTTACAAAAATATTACTTCAGCTACATACACATTTAAACCTGTCTTCAGGGACAACTCTTGGTTTTTAACAAAGTCCCAGCATCTATTACTTGATTAATTAAACGAAATTTACAAACCAGACTCAACTTAAGAAAACACTGTACTTTGAGAGCAGATGGTGGGTATTTACAGGGAGTCTGAAGCCGAAGAACCTAAAGGGTTGGAGGGGGGCGTTACGAAAGCTCGTTGGGAAAGTGCTGTTTACGGTATAGCCAAGCAGACCTTACCTGGAATCTGATTTCAGCGCCAAGGCCGAGTCCTAATTAAGGCGTGCCTCTGAACATGCGCAGAGTGCGTTTCCAAAGGAATAACGGCAGCCAGCCCTTTTCACATGTAGGGATCAGAAGAAAGGTTTTCAGACCTAACTTGGTTATAACATCCAAGCAGGCTTCGACCCCGGCCCTTCTCTGCTGGGAAATTCATTTATACGCTGCTACTCCTAAAAACTCTCAGCAGCCGCACAGTTTGCAGAGGCCCCCGGAGTAGCAGAGCGAGAAAAGGCCGAAGAAAAGCTTTGCCTTTGGATAGGAACCAGGCTCGGACGGGAAAAGAGCAACGCGCCGCGCCTCGTCCCCCGGAAAGTCTCGACTACCTGCAAATTCCCGGCTCCTCTCTGGGCTCCCCTCCGTCCACCGCTTCGGCAGGAAACTTTCCCTGACCCAGGGAGGAGCTGCAAGCTTAAAGGGGCCGCGCCCTCTTCTACGCTCTTAAAGCCAAAGGAGATCGGCGAGTGCTGAGCAGAGCTGCCAGGACAACACGAGAGTAGGGATAGGGGGCCGATTGTGCGCTTTACCAGGTTTTATCAACGGATGTTAGCCATACTAGCGAAACGGAACCTCCATGTTCCGAGACAGTATATTTCTGAGTGGCATATTAGTTAAGCAAACAGTAATTTCCAGGTCATGAGTTACACCGAACACAGTTCCTTCGGGCACCTGCAAAGTTCTGCTATGCAAATACAACTCAAAGCTGGCGGGCAACCCAATAGGAGACGGCTGTCGCATTCCTGTTCTTGTGGGCTTCTACCCCCAAGCACCAAGAGGACAGAGCATCACTTGCCCCAGAGCCCCTATCTATACCTTGTGGCTAATAGCCACTGATGTTCGTATGTACTGGAAAACTCCACCTAGACAACCTTGTAAGTTGCTGTCAAGTAAATATCATATCAGCCAGAAAAGACTACAGAGTCATCTTTATTACAATCCACAAAAGCTGCAGTCCTAGACACCAGGAGCTGCTTTATACTGTCAGACCCTTGCACTACCAAAGTCAGTCTGGCCTGCTCTGACTGGCAGCTTCGGCACTCCAAGATCTCAGGCGAGATCACACAGCCTATGGCCTGCTCCTTGTAACTGGAGGTGCTGGGGATTGAACCTGGGACCCTCTGCATGCAAAGCAGATGTTCAACCATGGCCCCTGTCAAATCTCACCCTTTACCTGGGTGTAATCCGCCTTGAACTCCTGGAACCACGTAAAGGATCACACTGTAAAAAAAAACACAACAGAATAATGTGCCAACAGCTCAAGAGCATGATCATTATATTGCAATTTTGTTGGGATTCTTTGATTCAGGATCGATGGTCGTATTGCAAACACAAGAGCCACACTTCTTAAAAGAAAAATAACTTTACTATAAAATTAAAATAAAACATGGGTATGGTACTTTAGATAAAAGAAATAAAATAAAAGGTTACATACTTGCAGTTACTCTCAGTAATATATGCTAACAGCTACATATTTCTATCTGTCTTGGCTTCTAGAAGAGAAGTTCCTCTCTGGTTCACACAAAGGGCCATAAACCTTGTGAACACATTAATGCTAGATCAAAGCATTTCCACAAACAAGTTGTTAGTTGACCAATACAAAGGTTACAGATCACTTCATTAGGGTAAACAGCTCCCACAAACTTTCCCACCGTTGAATACATTATGTAAAGTAACATCCTGTTTCCTAACAAACAACATTTAACTCTGTAATGACTGAAGTGTAAGCAACTTGAAATTCCAACAAATTTGCACTTGGTCCTAAGAAAGCTCTTCTCTAATAAATTTTTGGTTCTGTTTTTTTGTTGTTTATTTTTAACTTCTCTTCCTCCCCCCAAAACTTTTAACAGCTGCATTACAGGGGGAAAGTGGAGCTCCCCCATCACTGCGTCTCCAGCTTGAGAAAATAATCATTCTTCTTTCTGCATTTCAGCAGGGATATGTGAAGAGAGAAATCATGCAGAGCCACTACCCTCGCCCAGCCCAATCTCACTGCAGGAAAGATGCACAGATTCACATAGCTAGTTACACCAGCTGGGTGAAAAGTAGAAACCTTGCTCCCTTCCTCTTCTTCTCCTTCAAATTCCTCAGAATAAGTACAACTGACCAATGACTCCGTGTTACCTCAGGTCTAAAGTAGCAACTTTGTGGGCCTGTGTCGCGGCAGCCTGGGACTTGCATAATTGAAAGCTACTCCATAATTTTTTTTAAATGCACATAAAAAGCTAGAGAGAAGGGTGCTATTGTAGCTTCCTCCCTGACATTGGCTTTCTATGTGCAGTGAATTTTTGTATGGAAAAGCATTCAATTATGGTCTAAAGTGAACTACCCAAATGGAGCGGTACTATTTCTGAACTACACATCTGAAGAGATTGCTGTACACACACACACACATATGAACACATGAAGCTACCTCATACTGGATCAGACCAGTGGTCCATCAGGGTCAGTATTGTCTACTCAGACTGACAGTGGCTCTCCAGGGTCTCAGGTGGAGGTCTTTCACATCACCTGTCACCTGAATCCTTTTAACTGGAGATGCCCAGGACCTTCTGGGTGCAAAGCAGATGCTCTACCAGTGAGCCATGGCCCTTCTCTGTGTAGAATGAAGGAGAACTCTTGAGGCAGGGAGAGAGGAGATGATGTCATTCGAGTGATGATAATCTCCCTCACCAGCAATTCCGAAATAGGATCACAGGAAGATAGAAGAAAGTACTTATCATCCAAACTTAAATCAAGTTTCTGGGTTCATGTTTTGTACTGCCGTTGGTTTTAGACTGCTGGTTAGAGGGATTTATCCTAGCTGTCAAATTAGTAATATTTAGCTATAAAAGGTAAAAGTTCCCTTGCTTGAAAGCCAGTCAAATCCGACTCTAGGGTTGTGGTGCTCATCTCCGTTTCAAAGCCGAAGAGCCAGCGCTGTCTGAAGACGTTTCCGTGGTCATGTGGCCGGCATGACTAAACACCAAGGCGCACGGAACGCTGTTACCTTCCCACCAAAGTGGTACCTATTTATCTACTTGCAATTTCTTGCTTTCGAACTGCTAGGTTGGCAGGAGCTGGAACTAGAGATGGGAGCTCACTCCGTCATGCGGCACCCGGGTCTCGAACTGCTGAACTACCGACCTTCCACAGCCTGCAGTTCAGCATCTTAACCACTTGAGCCACCACAGCTCCTATATTTAGCTATACAAAGGGCTTTTTTTGTGTGGTGGTCAATGTTCCCTCTAAGCACTGCAGTCCTGTGAGCAAAAATTAGAATCTGTGAGCTACTGGCATTAAAGTTGTGAGCGAGCGATTTGGCTGCTGCATAAATTAGTTGGCTCTGGAGCCCTTTTTCCTGAGCGGAGACAAAAATGTGTGAGCTGGAGGCAAAAAAACTGTGAGCCAGCTCACGCTAACTCAGCTTAGAGGGAACACTGGTGGTGGTACTCACTGGTATTGAGTACCAGCACCTTTT